CAGGGGCTCACCCCCACACGGGGCTGCCCTGAGCTGCCTGGTGGGTGGGGACCAGGGGGGCAGTGGGGGGCCATCTCGCTGACCTGCCTGGTGGGTGGGGTTCAGGGGGGGCAGTGGTGGGTCTCACTGACCTGCCTGGTGGTTGGGGGTCCAGAGCAGGCAGTGGGGGGTTGCTTGGTGGTGGGGTCCAGGCAGGCAGTGGGGGGCTGCCAGGTGGGTGGGGGTCTGAGGCGGGCAGTGGGGGCTGACCTGCCTGGCGGGTGAGGTCTGGGGGGGTTGTGGGGGGCTGCTTGGTGGTGGGGTCCAGGCAGGCAGTGGGGGGCTGCCTGGCGGTGGGGTCCGGGGGGCGCCTCGCTGACCTTTGGCCCCGCAGCTGTACTGGTTCACCGTGGAGTTCGGGCTGTGCAAGCAGAATGGGGAGGTGAAGGCCTACGGTGCCGGGCTGCTGTCCTCCTACGGGGAGCTCCTGGTGAGCTCCTGGGGCCCAGAGTCGGGGTGCCGGGGGGGGGGGGCAGCGCGGCCCAGCCTCCTGGGGAGCCCTCCCGGGGGGCCCAGAGTCGGGGTGCCGGGGGGGGGCAGCGCGGCCCAGCCTCCGGGGGAGCCCTCCCGGGGACGCCGAGAGCATGGGTCCCTGCCTGTCCTGCCCGCGTGCTCAGGCCTCGGGGGGCTGGGGGGTTGGCCGCCCAGGTCAGCTCCCCGGGGCCGGGCAGGGGGTCCTGTGACGGTGACCCCCCCCCCCCCAGCACGCCCTCTCGGAGGAGCCCGAGATCCGGGCCTTCGATCCGGACGCGGCCGCCCTGCAGCCCTACCAGGACCAGACCTACCAGCCCGTGTACTTCGTGTCCGAGAGCTTCAGCGACGCCAAGGACAAGCTCAGGTGGGCGGCTCCGGGCCGACGGGAGCCGCGTCACAGGGAGAACACGGGCCCTCCGTGGCGGCACCGCCCACAGCAGCACCCCAAAGCCTGGGGAGGGGAGGCCGGAGGCTGGGCCCCCCACCCCCTCACTCCCGGGAGGCGGAGTCTGGTTTTGTAAGAGGAGGTGTGGGCGCCCCCAGCTCCGCCCTCTGAGCCGCGGGGGCCGTGAGGAGGGTGCACAGGAGGGTGCACAGGAGGGCTGGGGGTTCTGGGGGGACTAGGGGTTCTGGGGGGCCCAGGGACCTGGGGGGCCCGGGGGCCTAGGGAGCCTGGGGGGTCTGGGGCCTGGTGCCTGGGGGCCTGGGGGGTCTGGGGCCTGGGGGGTCTGGGGCCTGGGGGGCCCAGGGCCTGGGGGCCCGGGGTCTGGGGGGGTGGCCGTGGGAGCTGGGCAGAGTCTGACTTTATCCTGGGAACGGCCGGCTCCGCTGAGGCCGGGAGCTGTGCGCCAGCGAGGGGGGAGGGGGTTGGAGCCCCCACACAGGCTCAGCACCGAGGCTTCACTGGGACGCTCCAGGGCGCAGTCTGGGAAGGCTCCCTGGAGGAGGACTGGCTGAGCGGGGCCCTGAGGAGCAGCCAGAGGGACCGGGTGTCCCAGAGGCCGAGACCCAGCCCACGTGCCCCAGCTCCTCCTCCCCACCACTGGTGTCCGAGTCTCCCTCCCTGACCCAGGCCCCGAGTCCCCCCCCCGGGCCCCGAGTCCCCCCCCCCCGGGCCCCGAGTCCCCCAGAGACTGAGGTGCCCGCCCGCCCCCAGGAGCTACGCCTCCCGCATCCAGCGCCCCTTCTCCGTGAAGTTCGACCCGTACACGCAGGCCATCGACGTGCTGGACAGCCCGCGGGCCGTCCGCCAGGCGCTGGAGGGCGTCCAGGACGAGCTGCACGGCCTCGCCCACGCACTCAGCGCCCTCGGCTGAGGCCGCGGCCCACGCCCTGTGCCCGGCAGGCTGGGCTGGGCGCTCCCCACCCTCTGGGCCCCCGGCCTCCCTGGCCTCCCTGGCCTCCCTGCCCCGGCCCCTGCCCCTGCCCCGGCCCCTGCCCCTGCCCCAGCCCCAGCCCCGGCCCCTGCCCCTGCCCCTGCCCCTGCCCCTGCCCCTGCCCCTGCCCCTGCCCCTGCCCCTGCCCCTGCCCCTGCCCCTGCCCCTGCCCCTGCCCCTGCCCCTGCCCCTGCCCCTGCCCCTGCCCCTGCCCAGCCCCTGCCCCTGCCCCTGCCCCTGCCCCGGCCCCTGCCCCTGCCCCAGCCCCTGCCCCTGCCCCTGCCCCTGCCCCGGCCCCGGCCCCGGCCCTGGCCCCTGCCCCTGCCCCTGCCCCTGCCCAGCCCCAGCCCCGGCCCCTGCCCCTGCCCCGGCCCCTGCCCCAGCCCCTGCCCCTGCCCCTGCCCCTGTCCCTGTGAGCTCTCCAGAGACCCTGCCTGCCCAGGGCACCTCGCCAGCCCCCACCGTGCCTCCCAGCTCTGCCTGTGATGTCCTTGTCCTGACTGGCTGCCCGCCATGCTGTGTGCCCCCCACACTGTGTGCCCCCCACACTGTGTGCCCCCATGCTGTGTGCTGCCCTCTCACAACCTGAATAAAAGGAAGAAGCCTGTGCCAGCCTGGGTCCGAGTCCTTGTCCCCGGGCCCAGTGCGCCCTCAGCCTTGCTCAGAGGCCTCCTGCCGCCTCCTCCAGGGAGGCCTCCAGGGGAGCCCGGGCCGGCACGGGGCTCCCGGGCCGCGACCTGAGCCAGCAGCTCCAGAGGACCGGGGGCCCGCCCGGGGCTGGGGGGGAGGCCACAGCTGTGCCGATCGCGGGGGTGGGGGTGGGGGTGTCTATGTCCACGTGGGGGAGGATGGGGTTCGGGGGGGCCCGCCCGGGGCTGGGGGGGGGGGAGGCCACAGCTGTGCCGATCGCGGGGGTGGGGGTGGGGGTGTCTATGTCCACGTGGGGGAGGATGGGGTTCGAGGGGGCCCGCCCGGGGCTGGGGGGGGAGGCCACAGCTGTGCCGATCGCGGGGGTGGGGGTGGGGGTGTCTATGTCCACGTGGGGGAGGATGGGGTTCGGGGGGGGCCAGCCCGGGGGAGCAGGCTGGCATGGCTGCCTCTGACCCCTGCACCCCCCACCCAGAGCAGGAGCTGGGTGCTCCCCCATCTGCCCTGTTCCCGGGGGGCTCTCTGGCCGGGGTCTCCCCGCAGGGGGGAGGAGAGTGGGTGGTGGCTGTCAGTGCCCTCCGACCCCTCTAGCACCCGGCTTCTCGGGGCTCCTTCCCCCCCTGAGGGGACTGCCTGCCCCCTCTCCGGCCCCTCGCGCCCCCAACCCCGGCCACACCGAGGGCGGCAAACCCTGTCCGTCAGGTCCCCAAGGCAAAGCCTCCTTTCCAGCCTCACTGAGCCTGTCCCTCCATCAGCTGTGTCCCCAGCACCCGCCTGCCAGCACCCCAACTGTCCCAGCACCCACCTCCCAGCACCCCGCCTCCCAGCACCCGCCTCCCAGCACCCAACTCCCAGCACCCAACTCCCAGCACCCCACCTCCCAGCACCCCACCTCCCAGCACCCGCCTCCCAGCACCCAACTCCCAGCACCCCACCTCCCAGCACCCCAACTCCCAGCACCCTGCCTCCCAGCACCCCACCTCCCAGCACCCCAACTCCCAGCACCCTGCCTCCCAGCACCCCACCTCCCAGCACCCCAACTCCCAGCACCCCGCCTCCCAGCACCCCACCTCCCAGCACCCCACCTCCCAGCACCCTGCCTCCCAGCACCCCAACTCCCAGCACCCCGCCTCCCAGCACCCTGCCTCCCAGCACCCCGCCTCCCAGCACCCCACCTCCCAGCACCCAAACTCCCAGCACCCCACCTCCCAGCACCCTGCCTCCCAGCACCCTGCCTCCCAGCACCTGCCTCCCAGCACCCAACTCCCAGCACCCCGCCTCCCAGCACCCCACCTCCCAGCACCCAAACTCCCAGCACCCCACCTCCCAGCACCCTGCCTCCCAGCACCCTGCCTCCCAGCACCTGCCTCCCAGCACCCAACTCCCAGCACCCCGCTGCTCAGCCTGCACCCGCTCCCTCCAGCCCAGGGGGCCCAGCCGGGGCCGCTCTGACAGCTCTGAGCCCCAGGAACCCTGGGAAGGGCTGGTGAGCAGCCTCTCCCTCCGGCCTGACTGACCCCCGGCTCTGTCCCCCCCCCCCCCCGGCCTCCCGTCCAGCCTCGGCCCTCAGGCCGTTCACAGAGGCCAGGGGGCCCCGGAGGCCGTGGGCACGGTGATGTCCGGGAAGGTGGGGTTCCCTCCTACCTGGGCGAGGGGCCCCAGACCCTGGTGCCCAGGGAGGGTTAGAGGCAGCCGGGGGGGGGGGGTAGGTCAGGGCGGGGGCACCATGGAGTTCGGCCTGCGGGACCGACGAGGGACGAAGGGGTGAGGGCCAGGCCTAGCGGCGTCATTGTGGGGGGGAGCAATGTGGGCGGGCGGCAGGGGCTTCGGGAAGAGGCTGGGAGCAGAGAGGGGATGTGTTTGAGCCCCACCACGGAGTCCTGTGGCCAGAGCGCAGATGGGAGCTGCCCCCGCCCCCGCCCCCAGTGAAGCTGAGGGACCGACCAGCCTGGGGCTCGTGGCCGCTGGTCCCCACGTCCAGGGCCCACCCCCCCCCCCCAGCACCCGGGAGCCGGGGCAGTGGGGAGCCCCCGTGCAGGGCAGCTGGGCCCAGAGCAGAGCTGCCCCTTCCCGTCCGGCCCTGCAGCCGGACCCCCCGGGGCCGGGAGGGCGGACAGGAGCGGGCTCAGGGCTGGGCAGGAAGGACCCCCGTGCGCCCCCCCCCCCGGCCCCCTGGACTGATGTGGAAACAGGGCCTGGCCCGGGAGGCGGGGCGGGGACTCGCCTCCGAGCGGGGACACGGCCATCAGGCCCCTCGTTAAGGCCTTAATGACCGCGGCCCCCGAGGTGCTGACGACCAGGGCGGCCTCCTGCGCACCCAGCTCGCCCGCCCGCGGGGCAAATGGCCCGGAAAGTGCAGCCTCAGGCCCGGGGCCATCTGCCACCCTCGCCCCCCGGGGCGCCCGCCGGCCGGGGTATAAAGCAGGCCGTGCCCAGCAGCCCCCAGCGCTGACCCGGACCCGGACCCTCTGCACCCCAGGCCCAGCGAGCAGGTCGGTCCGGACTCCGGGCTGCAGGGAGGGCTGCCCCCCGGGAGGGGCCGCGGACGGGACAGGCCCTCAGGGCCCCGAGGGCGAGCACGAGGGCGAGCAGGGGCGGGCACCCCCGGGGACGGGCACCCCCGGGGACGGGCCTCGGTCACACCTAAAGGGCCCTCACTGCATCGCCCCGCCCGCTCCAGCCCCCGACGCCGCCATGGCCCTGTGGACGCGCCTCCTGCCCCTGCTGGCCCTGCTGGCCCTCTGGGCGCCCGCCCCGGCCCAGGCCTTCGTCAACCAGCACCTGTGCGGCTCCCACCTGGTGGAGGCGCTGTACCTGGTGTGCGGGGAGCGGGGCTTCTTCTACACGCCCAAGGACCGCAGGGCGCTGCCCGAGCTGCAGGGTGAGCCCTTGTGCCCCCATCACCCCATCCCACCCTCTCACCCCATCCTGACCTCACCCCTCACCCCCACCCTGGCCTGCAGGGTAAGGCCCTGCCCGCCCCCCATCACCCCCTCACCCCCATTCTGACCCTCACCCTCACCCCACCTGGCCGGTAAGCCCCTGCCCGACCCCCTCACCCCCACCCCTCCCTGCCCCGTGCTGGCCGGGAAGCCGGTGGGAGTCCGAAAGGGGAGGACGGGCCTCGGTCACACCTGGTCAGTGCTCCAGGGGCAGAGAGTGGGTGACCCCGAGGGAGAGCCCGTCCCCTCCCGCCGTCCACCCCTCCGACACCCCCGCCCGCTCCCCGTGCCTCTGACGGAGGCGACAGCTGTCGCCTCCGGGTCAGGTCCTGGCAATGCCCTGGGAGCGGGGCAGGCTGTGGGGCTGGGAGTGGGGGCAGGGACTGCCCGGCAGCAGGTCCCTCGCCCAGGGCTGTGGGCCGGGCCGGGTGGGGTCCCGGGCGGCCCTGACGCCCCTCCCTGTCTCTCCCGGCAGGGGGCGAGGGGGAGCTGGGCACGGGCGACCTGCAGGCGCTGGCGCTGGCGCAGAAGCGGGGCATTGTGGACCAGTGCTGCACCAGCATCTGCTCGCTCTACCAGCTGGAGAATTACTGCAACTAGCCGCCCGGCACCCCCACCCCCCCAGCCTGGCCGCTCCCGCCTGGCCGCCCCGCCCCCCTGGCCCAATAAACCCTGAACCAGCCTTGTGTGTGTGGTCTGTGCGGTGTGGGCGGGAGGGGGCGGGGGCGTGGCAGGGCTCAGGGGCCACCCCCTTGGCCAGGGCTGCCGAGTGGCACCCTGCGTCCCCTTCTCTGTTCTCTCTGCCTCGGCCCCTCTGAGCTTCTCCCCGCTCAGCGGGAGCCTGGGCAGCCGTCCTGTCCCCCAGGGGCAGCAGCCCCCTGGCCTGGCCTGATCCCTGGGGGCCCCGGGCCCCACGGCTTCGGGATGGGACAGAGAAGGGGCCCGGCTGGGGCCCCAGGGTTTTGGGGGAAACAGATGGGGCCGTTCATTCAGAGATTGTTCCCGCCCTCAGCCCAAGAAGCCCGTTTCCGGGCCGTTCCTGAGGGGCCCTGCAGGGAAGAGGCTGGGCCCAGAGGGGAGGGGGCATGAGATGCTGCCCACATGGGGCCTTTCTCCCACCCTCACCACCCAGCTCGGGGGACCCCAGCCCAGGCCTCAAAGGAGGAACCCCGGGGCCTGGGGATGCAGGAGCGAAGCACCCTGAGTCAGCAGACAGACTGGGATGCCCCGCTCTGGGCATTGGGCTGTGTGCCCCCCCAGCCCCAGCCCCAGCCCCCTGCCCCCAGCCTCAGCCCCCCAGCCCCCAGCCCCAGCCTCAGCCCCCCAGCCCCCAGCCCCAGCCCCCCAGCCCCCTGCCCCTAGGCCCCGCCCCCCCAGGCCCCAGCCCCAGCCCCAGCCCCCAGCCCCAGCCCCAGCACCCTGCCCCTAGGCCTCGCCCCCTCAGGCCCCAGCCCCCGCCCCAGCCCCCAGCAACAGCCCCAGCCCCTAGGCCCCACCCCCCCAGGCCCCAGCCCCAGACCCACCCCCAGACCCACCCCTAGACCCAGCCCCCAGCCCCAGCCCCACCCCCAGCCCCACCCCCAGCCCCACCCCCAGCCCCAGCCCCAGCCCCAACCCCAGCCCCAGCCCCCAGCCCCAGCCCAGCCCCAGCCCCAGCCCCAGCCCCAGCCCCAGCCCCAGCCCCCAGCCCCAGCCCCAGCCCCAGCCCCAGCCCCCAGCCCCAGCCCCAGCCCCAGCCCCCAGCCCCCAGCCCCAGCCCCAGCCCCAGCCCCAGCCCCCTGCCCCAGCCCCCAGACTCAGCCCCAGCCCCAGCCCCAGCCCCAGCCCCAGCCCCAGCCCCAGCCCCCAGCCCCCAGGCCCCAGCCCCAGCCCTAGCCCTAGCCCCCTGCCCCAGCCCCCAGACTCAGCCCCAGACTCAGCCCCAGCCCCAGCCCCAGCCCCAGCCCCAGCCCCAGCCCGGGATGAGGCCCGACCACCCCCTCCACCGCTCCTCCCACCATGCAGCCACGTTCCCCGCCCCACGCTGGCCATCACCCTCAGAAGTGCCCCCAGGTCCCTCCAGGTCCAGGCCTTTACCCCCCTCAGCACCCATGCAGCCCGGGCAGCTGCACCGGGCACGCCCTCGGCCACTGCGGGGTGTGCCAGGAGCCGGGGTGCCCGTGGCCTGGGAGGTCAGCCGGTGACCTGACTGTACCGAGGCCTGGCCAGCCTGCCGGCCACTGGGCCAAGCCAATGGGTGCCCTCCCCGAGGACCCGCCCACGCCGGCCGCACCAGACCCTCGTGGTGGGGGCCCAGCCCCCGCCCCCACCCCGCGGTCCTCCCCACAGCCCCGAGGCTCCCTCCCGGACCCTCCTCCCCACATAGACACCCCCAGAGGCACGGCACTGCCCCCCGCTGGCCCCGCCCTGGAGTGGGGGCCGGGGCCGGGCAGGGGGCGGCCGGCAGACAGTGGACCCGGAAGAGGAGGTGGTGGTGGTGGCTGGGACCCAGGACTTGCTCACGGGAGTCGCCAGGCAGGGGTGTCCTGAGGGAGCTGAGGTACGTGAGCCTGGCAGGCGGGGCGGGCGCTGCGGGGTGGGAAGGGGCCTCCCAGGAGGGGAGCCGGACCCCTCTGGGGTGCAGGGCACACAGCCTGTGCTCCTGGCGGGACTCTGAGCAATGGGCCCATGGCGTCCGGAGAGGGGTCACCCCGCAGGGCAGGGGGCTGACACCCAGGATCGGGGCTGTGCTGGGCCGCGGTCCTCGGTCCCCAGGCTGGGCCGGCCATGCCCCCTCCCCTCCTGGGAAAGCACCGGTGAGAATCTGACCTTCCCGAGCCCCCAGAATCAGAGACAGAAGGCCCTAGGGGTGACCCTCCAGCCTGGCCGCTCCTCCAGGCCCTGGGCCCCCTGGCTGCTCTTGAAAACACGGGGTGGGGTGTCCCCGTGCTCCCAGCATGGACGCGGTCCTGGCGGCAGAGCTGGGGTCAGACCCTGGGCTCCGAGCAGCCCGGCAGGTGCCAGGCTCATGGGCCTTGGCCTTGCCATCTGCCCAGGCCTGTGCCTGCCCTTCTGGGAACTGGGCAACAGCCTCTCGTGCCCTGCAGCCCCGCCTCCAGGGCCCGTGGGGCTGGCTGCGGGGTCAAGGCCTCCAGGCCCACGTGCCACCTGGAGCCGGGACCGAGGAGCAGCTGGTCCCAGAGGCCCCTCACAGGCCCACCGTCCCACACGGCCCGCGAGCTCCCATGGGGACACTATGCCAGGGCCAGGACGGCTGCTGCTCTGGTGCCCAGTGCGCCGCCTCCAGGCAGGCCCCCCAGATTGCCTGCACCCGGCCGGCCGGCCAGCCGGCTGGCGTGAGCGGCCCCTGCCCCTGGCTGGGGGCAGTGTTTGCCTCCTCCTGTTGGGGTGAATATTTACCGTCCTCTCTGCTCTCCGGCCTGAACAGCCCTGGGGGCACGGGGGGGGGGGGTGTCAGTGTGGGGATGCCATGCGGGGCCCCTGCCCCTGAGGGCCCAGTGCCCGGTGGGCCGCCTGGGAATGGGAGTGGGACTGGGAACCAGGGGCCTGGCTGCTGGGGAAGGGCCCCGGCAGGACACAGGCTGCACCCTGGCCGGCACCCGTGTCCAGCGAGGCGTCCCCACTCGGGCGTCTGTCCCCGCCCCGGGCAGGCCCGGCCCCCGGGAGGGGGTTCTGGGCGGTGGGCACCCGTCCACGTGGACAAGGTGGCCGGAGCGGCCATTTCCCGGTGTGACCAGCAGAGGGCGCCAGAGCCCCGCTTTTGCGGGATTCCTGTGGGCTGGGCGGGCGGGCGGTCCTGGGACTGTCCTCACGGGGCCCCCTTTGCCCGGCGGGGGGCGCTCCTGCCCGCCTCCAGGGGCTCAGGTTTAGGAAGGAGACGGGGTGGCGGTGCCAGCCCCCTGCCTCCTGGGCTCAGGCCTCCGGGAAGCCCTGCCAGCGGGCCGGTCCCCCACATCCTGGAAAAGCCCCCGAGCCCCCAGAACCAGGGACAGGAAGTCCTTAGGGGCGATTCCTCCAGCGCCCCCACGTCACCGCTGGGAAACTGAGGCAGGAGGCCGGCCGAGCACAGGCCCCGTCTGCCGGGCCGTCCCCCCAGTCTGTGCGGCCTCCCGGCTCCAGCCGAGGCCACGTGCGGGGCCAGACCCCAGCGAGGAGGCCTCAGCGGGGTCAGTGCTGCCCCAGGCCTGGCCCGGTGGGGAGGCAGAGGCCAGAGGTTCCTCCAGGAAGAATGTGGGGCGGGTCCGGGGGGCCGGCCCACCCCCTCGGCTGCCGCTCAGGAACCCGGGCAGGGTCTCCCCGCGGCCCCCTGCGCCCTCCTGCTCCCCCCACACCCTGGGGTGCTCGGCCTCGTGCCTCGGTGCAGCCCCCATCCCTGGCCTCGAGGGACCCCAGGCCTGATCCCGGCTGGCCCCATGTGCAGCTGAGCCATCAGAACGGGCAACATTCCGCCGGCCCCCCTCCAGCCCCCCTCCGGCCCCCTCCGGCCCCTTCCAGCCCCCTCCGGCCCCCCCCCGGCCCCCTCCGGCCCCCTCCGGCCCCCCTCCGTCCCCTCCGGCCCCCTCCCGGCCCCCTCCGGCCCCCCTCCGGCCCCCTCCGGCCCCCTTCCGGCCCCCTCCGGCCCCCCTCCGGCCCCCCTCCCGGCCCCCCTCCGGCCCCCCCCAGCCCCCCTCCGGCCCCCTTCGTCCCCCTCCCGGCCCCCCTCCGGCCCCCTCCGGGCCCCCCTCCGTCCCCCTCCCGGCCCCCCTCCGTCCCCCTCCGGGCCCCCCTCCCGCCCCCCTCCGCCCCCCTCCGTCCCCCTCCGCCCCCTCCGGCCCCCTCCGGCCCCCTCCGCCCCCCTCCGGCCCCCTCCGGCCCCCTCCGGCCCCCCTCCGCCCCCCTCCGGCCCCCTCCGGCCCCCTCCGCCCCCTCCGGCCCCCCTCCGGCCCCCTCCGGCCCCCCTCCGCCCCCTCCGGCCCCCTCAGGCCCCCCTCCGGCCCCCTCCGGCCCCCCTCCGCCCCCCTCCGGCCCCCTCCGGCCCCCCTCCGCCCCCCCTCCGGCCCCCTCCGGCCCCCTCCGCCCCCCCTCCGGCCCCCTCCGGCCCCCTCCGGCCCCCCTCCGCCCCCCTCCGGCCCCCTCCGGCCCCCCTCCGGCCCCTCCGGCCCCCCTCCGTCCCCCTCCCGGCCCCCTCCGGGCCCCCTTCCGGCCCCCCTCCGGCCCCCTCCCGGCCCCCTCCGGCCCCCTCCGGCCCCCTCCCGGCCCCCCTCCGGCCCCCTCCGGCCCCCTCCGGGCCCCCCTCCGGCCCCCTCCGGCCCCCTCCGGGCCCCCCCTCCGTCCCCCTCCCGGCCCCCCTCCGGCCCCCTCCGGCCCCCCTCCGCCCCCTCCGGCCCCCCTCCGTCCCCCTCCGGCCCCCCTCCGTCCTCCCCCCACCCCCCTCCGTCCCCCTCCGGCCTCCCCCCGGCCCCCCTCCGGCCCCCCCCCGGCCCCCTCCGTCCCCCTCCCGGCCCCCCTCCCGGCCCATCTGTGTTTGTGGAAAACAGAGCCGGCACCCCGCAACCTGCCAGCTGCAGCCCCAGCGTTTGTTCTCCCAGCCCCGCTGCCCCGACTTCAAACTGGGCCTGTC